AATCACAATAATTATAATTATTGCGCTCTCACATTCCTCAGCGTATTTACGACGAGGCAATGGAAAAACAATTGGACGCAGAGCTGCACCCGCTCAACGAGTTCCAGAAAGTGCGTTGTAGATACATGTGCTGCTCTGCTGTATTATATTTGTAAGCCTTGCAGCGCTGCGGATGCTGAGTATGTGTTGCTTGACGACAGAGCAAAGTCGAGACGCGGGACGGACACTTCGTGGTCATCGTGTGCTCCACAACAGGCAACGGGGACCCGCCCGACAATTGCGGCAAGTTTTGGCGCTACGTGAAGCGCAGAACGCAACCCGATGACATGTTGGCTAAGCTGCGGTACACAGTGTTGGGACTCGGAGACACCAACTACGACAAGTTTTGGTGAGAGTAGAGTGGGTGGCAGAGGAGGTTGATGCGGGCTAACACTCTAGGGTTGGATTGGTGCAGTTTTATGGGAAAAAGTATCGAGAAGCGCATGCGAGAGCTGGGTGCGCAGAGCTTCTACGAGTTCGGTATGCCGCTGTCCTTAAACCATTATTTTTTAGCTGTTCTAACGACCTATTAATTTGTAAATAGCTGCTGCTGACGAAGCGATGGGTCTTGAGGAAAGTGTGGAGCCATGGCTGAATGGTCTTTGGGAGGCGTTTGACAAAGCAAATGGTGTGATTGGAGTGGCCACCGATGTCGGTACCTCAAGTTCGAGTGTCAAGGAGAGCAGTGCGAATGGTGATGAGGCTACGGATGCGTTGCCGGCTGGGAAAAAGTCGTTAACTCTGGCCACTGTGAACGCGTCATATCTCTTGGAGAAGCTCATTTCGTACGAGAAGATGTTTGGTCCGCTGGACGCTCCAACGGAGACACCTGAAGATCTTCCTCGACTACAGTCGTCGCTTCTCAGTATGCGGTTCCTACGTGATGAAGAGCTTCAGACCCCAAGCTCCAGTATGACCAGTATGACTACCGATGATGATGATACCGAAATTAGCTCGACGAACCCAGTCTTGGCTTCAGTGGTTGGTGCCGAGTATCTAACGGCCCCACACGCCGAGAGGAAGGTTCTTCGTCTTGACGTCGACGTCAGCGGCTTAAATATTCAGTACGTTCCTGGAGACTCGATCGGCATCAAGTGTCCTAATCGACTGGAAGATGTGGATGCTCTACTGTCATGCTTGGGGGTCAACGGAGATAAAATCTTCTCCGCTGAGCCTGTTGCGTCCACAAACGGACGTGCAGCCAAACGGAAGAACACTTCAATCCACTTCCCATCACCATGCAACGTCCGCGACGTCTTCCTAAACCACGTCGACATCCTGAGTGTACCGAAGAAAGCTGCAGTTCGTGCTCTTGCGACGTATTGCTCGGACGAGGAGGAACGTGCTCGGATGCTGCTGTTAAGCAGCAAGACTGGCGCACAAAAGTACAAGGTAAGAACGGTCACTTGACAAGCCGTCGCTGTGCTTTATTATCTGACATTTGTAACCATACAGGAGCTCATTACGGAGCAGCATCTTAACTTCGTGGAGATCCTCCATCTCTTCCCGTCCTGCAAGCCTCCGCTTGACCACTTGTTGACTCTGATACCGCAGTTAATGCCTCGGTATTACTCGATCACCACGTCGTCGCTGGTCGACCCTACTCGACTGTCCGTGGCGTTCACTGTCGTTGAGTACGTAGTAGGTGAGCATGGCCTCCGTCGCCGTGGGCTCTGTACGAACTGGCTGAACAAGATCGGTCAGCCATTAATCGACGCCAGTGTAGCTGCCTCCACAGGCGTGAAGATCCCAATCTTCCTAAGAGGAACTCAAGACTTCCGTCTCCCCGAGAATTCTCAATCCCCCATGGTTCTCATCGGCCCGGGTACTGGCGTCGCCCCGTTCATGGGATTTTTGCAACACCGCTACCATGAAGCCAAGGATGCTGCGTTGCCAGGTGATGCATACCTGTTCTTCGGATGTCGACGTCAGAGTGAGGACTGGCTGTTCAAGGAGGAGATGCAGGAATTCGCCTCGAATGGCACGTTGACGCAGCTTTTCACTGCTTTCTCTCGCGACCAAGATGAGAAGCATTACGTCCAGCACGACTTACGTGACAATGCGAAGCTTGTGGCTGACATTCTGCTGGGATCAGACGGCTATCTGTTTGTCTGTGGCGACGGTATGGCGATGGCTAAGGATGTCCACGCTGCTCTAGTCGGCATTTTGACGGAGAACGCCGGATTATCCCACGAAGAAGCCGAACTGAAGCTGCGAGAACTGGGAACTCAACACCGCTACGTCCGTGATATTTGGTGATTCGCGCACGTACATTCCTTAGATCCTGTTTTAGTGTGCAACAGTTTGCATGGTCTCCTCCGCCAATTTGGTCCAGTCTACCGCATTACCGTAGTTCGACTCGACAAATTGAGACGCAGGAAAGTGCAACCCCTGGATTTGCTCAATACGTAGTACAGTAGTAGTTATTAATCCCATCCGTTATTCGATATGAACACAGTAGAACTCTACCAGCACGCTTTTAATTTTTTTTAGATGTAGTGCACGTATTAACACCATAGAAAGGACAAAAAAGGCATAGAAATTTTCAGCAAAATATCATAATTAACGTGTGCTTCAAAATGGAAGAAACCATCAGCCGAGGAAGAGGCTTACGTGCGCTCGCCGCGGATGCGTCGGGCCAGCTGAATGTCCTTGGGCATGATGGTGACACGCTTAGCGTGGATAGCGCACAGGTTCGTGTCCTCAAACAAACCCACGAGGTAGGCCTCTGAAGCCTCCTGAAGAGCCAGGATGGCCGTGGACTGGAAACGCAGATCCGTCTTATAGTCCTGCGCGATTTCACGCACCAGACGCTGGAACGGCAGCTTGCGGATCAGCAAGTCCGTCGACTTCTGGTACTTGCGGATCTCACGCAGCGCGACCGTACCGGGACGGTAGCGGTGCGGCTTCTTGACACCGCCGGCGGTGGGTGCTGACTTGCGAGCGGCCTTAGTGGCCAGCTGCTTACGCGGGGCCTTGCCACCGGTGGACTTGCGGGCTGTCTGCTTGGTACGGGCCATGGCGTTCTAGAGGTTGCTGTTGTTGCTTGTTGCTGCTTGTTCTCGAAGCTTGGAAAAGCGGAAATGAACTCCTGCAAAAGAAAAGAAAAGGGAAAACGTGAGCTGTCGCCGGCGCTGGAACGCAGCATACAAAGCCCAAGTGGTTTGGCAAAGGTGGTGCTCAAGAGGGGAGATGACGCCTTTCGGAGGATGGCGAACCCTTCAGGATCATATATGTGGATTTCGTAAGCCAACCTCCTGGGGCGTGGTTCGGGTCGGGCGGGGCGACGTCTCCGCCGACCATAGCCAAACGAAGCCTTTTCCTCCCCTTGTCGCGGCTTCGTGTCTCTGGACCACTCGCTCGCGCTGGCTCCCCCATCCCAGGTCGTGGGGGCGAGCGTGAGCTTAACATATAGGAGTTTGTATTGGCTGTCTGGGCCCCACCAGCCGCACCAAAAGCTTTATTTAAAAATTGGAAGGTGGCGTCGAGTCTGACTTGGTTAAAGTATGCTGTGGTCACCGTCGTTACGATCAGCCAATCCACCAATCAGCGACCGCCCTTTCCCCTATTGCGCACATAGAAAAGGCTAGGCAACAATTTGAAAGTCAAGTCTCAAGCGGCACACTGTTGGAGTCTTTCATGGTATGAAACGTCAATTAATCGTCAGGTGCCTACATGTACGAACTGCGCGCTGCTGATCGTTATCGCAGTAAGTGTTGCATCGCCATTTTTGCATGGCCTCCAGGTTGGAGGCTTTTCGTTTTGCTGCTGGCATACCGCTGGCTGTGCCACAGCTGGTGAGGTGGACAGCTGGTGGACAATTGTAACCATCACTCTCGAGTCTGCTTCAACTCAGTGAGAGGTGCGTCACTATTTGGTGTGACCCACTCAACAGATTCATCGTTTAGCTTGGAACAATGGACTTCGAAGCACTGGCGACGGAATGCCGCAGTGCTGCCTTCCGGTACGGTTTTCTAATGAATGACCACACGGAAAAAAGTCTCCCCCAATTTGGCCATGCGACGCTGCACCTATTTCCATTTGCAATCAACTGAACGTCTTGTAATGCGACGTCATCCCTTTAGAGAATCGCTCATCGCGTCTCCCGTGTGGACACAGGCCGCAGAGACGATAACTGACTACGTGCATCAACTGAAGACACAAATCCAGTCAGCAGAGTCTGCTGCAGGCACTAGAAATCTTATGCAGGACGCAGATGCCGCGGGTGAGGACGACGACGGACTGAGCTATACATTTCACGTGAATGGCAAGCACCCAACTGCGGAGTCTCTGCAGCAAGACTTTTCAGCACCCAAGCCTGTTGTGGCTGATATTGACCGCACTTCTGGTCACGTTGAAGCTGTGACAGCAGTGTTCCGCTTCTTGCGCAATGCTTGTGCTGCGTGCAGCGCCAATCAGGACGCGTGCCGAGATGCCGGACTTATCAAGCAGGTACGGCTTTAGACTGTTCGAGTGTCGGTAGTAGGTCGGTTTTAAGGTAACCCTGACGGTGTGGTCCTGTCCTGTAGGCGCATGATGTTGTGATGCATTGCTGCCTCTTGGCGGACGTCGAGGACGAGCACTAAAAAGGGTGTGTTGCAACGTACGAGATTGGCTACTGCTTTGACACTAATCCTGTGTACCAACTTGATGCAGCCGGGATTGTCCTTCTAGCCCAAGTTGTGCTTCAAGTTTGCGTAATGCAGTCACCAGTAACACGACAAGCCAAGCAACAGCATGGGAGCTGCTCTTCCCCGACGATTTCCAGGTGCGTGACTGGGATGCCTGATGACTCTACTATTGCTGAGTAATACGCTGATGTTTTCTGTTTTTTTTTGGATAGAAAATATTGGTGGAGTGCCACCAGTATCGTAAGGTGGTTGCTTTTGCTGTGGCGTTGATCATCAATTGCGTCAATTCAAGCGGCACCGATGGTTTCAAGATCGAGGAAGTTGCCGCTCGTCGTGTAGACCTGGTAAGAAAAGTGTTAACAGTCCCCATTGATCAAAATACTTACTCTGTGGTTATTATGGTGTTCTTAGGTGTGCGCTCGCAATTTGGTGATCACCATCCTCCATCGCTGCATGGCGAAGCCTCCGCAGTCATCTGAGTCTGATACGTCGTCGCCAAGTGAACTGCACATCGATGACGAGGACCCAGCATTCGAGTGGATCTGTATGTTGTTTGCGTTGCTGTTCCGCGGCAGTCATGCCAAAGATCTGTACAACGCTGTGGGTGCGCACATGCTAAGCAAACTTTGGTCTCGAGTGACTCCAGAGCAGCTGATTTTTCTACGGATGTTCACGATGTGGGCTGTTTCGACCCCCCAATCAACATTGCCAGCAACCATTCAAGAAGACACTCGCACAAAGCAGCCACTTCCCGAGGGTACGTTTGAATTTGTGAAGAGTACGTGGACGTACATCATCACTGGAGGTGACGAAGACAGGCCCGAAGAAGCGGACGAGGTCAGGAAGAAAGTGTGGTTTGAGCTTGAAAACGAAGCCAAGGTCATGCTACTCGATGTTCTTGGAGAACTGACAGTCGGTAACACCAGACTCAACGCAGATGGAGCTCGAGAACTACTACTATCACTGCTTCAGGAGCTGCAGCGAGTATGGGAGCTTGGCCGTCAGAGCACCACAACTATGAACACTAGGACTGCTGCATCAACGATACAGCCACAAACAAACGGAGAGCCGTTCGGGTACAGGTCTGGATTAATCCGCGTCATTGGCAACCTGAGCTTCCGGCACACAGATCACCAAGATCTCGTACGTAACGAAGGATACCTACCTTTGTTTCTGAACCACTGCAACATTGACGAGACGAATCCGATGATCCGAGAATGGTCATTGGTCGCTCTTCGCAACTTGTGCGAGGGCAATGAAGCCAACCAGTCGTACATCAATGCTCTGCGACCACAGGGAATGGATGCAGCTTCGACTACTACTCTTGACAAAGCGAAAATGCGCGCAGACATTGGGAAGGACGGTAACGTCAAATTGACGAAAAAGGACGGGCAATCTGATGACGAATAGAAACCTTTAGTCGTAGACCATTCTCCGCGGTTTATTGTTCCCAGAAATCTCTTTCTTGATTCGCGCTGTCTGTAGCTGCAAGCACGCTGTTTGCAATCGAACATATGCGACTTTATTCGATGGGTCTTGCTGCAAGCTCTTTTTGAGATCTTCGATCGCTGCCGAGAGTTTTTCCTGACCCATAAGAGCATTGGCGTGGCCAAATAGCAGCGTAGCGATCTGCCTCCTGTCGGCAGGATCTACTAAAGCCAAACATTCCTCGTAAGCACTCTCAGCCTTCTCGTATTGCTTTAGTCGCAGCCATTCGTCGGCTTTCTCACGATAAACAAGTAAATTCTTTAACTGATCACAGTAAGTTAACAGTGCTTTGGTGGAGACGACACTTTGCTTGCTTTCTTGGATTGGAAACGTTCCAGTGATCCGGATGGCCTCCCTATAATACCCTTCGAAGGCCAGGGCCCGTGCATGCATCAGTGTCAGCTCGTCATCCTCGCCAGAGAATGGTGAGCCCTCTAAAAACCTCGTCACCATGGCAAATCGACGCTGCTTCATCAAAGTCTGCGTCAGCAAAATTGCCAGTTCAATGGAAAATGGGGCTTCGCGAAACAATGTCCAGAGATCCTTGCTAAGAGAGGATAACACGCGAGCCGGCGCTTCGTGACGTCCAAATAGTTCTCTGGTGCGAGCCAGGGAAGTTTGAAATGCCACGCAGTTGAGCAACAGTTTTTTCGCTATTCTGGCGGCGGATCGTAGTGCTTGGCTGTCGACATTTTCGGCGGGAGCAGTTTTGGCGAAAGGCACTTTGAGATGGCGCCGAGTCACTTCACAGCACTTACCTAACGTTAAACGAGCCTGCGTAACGTCGCCGACGAGCTTCCAGCCACTTGCTAGTGCCGTGAGCTCTCGACAATACTCGCTAAGACCTTTTGAGAGAAATTGGATGTCATCACGTTTACCGATGAAGCTCAGTAAATCCTGCCATAAAAGCAGAAAACTGGGAAACCATTTTAAAGGTGTTTGAGAACTCAGGATCTTCGTCAGTATTCGCGTGCGATGTACTTGCATTTCTAAAATTGCAGACTCCAGGTCATGGTAGTCCAAGCAGCCCTTAAAGCGCTCAGCTATTTCTTCGTACGCCTGGTCTGCTAGATTGCTATCATCTCTTTCTTGCTGTAGGGCAGAACGAAGTCGTCCCGCTGGAAATTGTTGAGACATCAATTTTTCGGAGACCATCTGAAACACTCGCTGGTCGCCGCTCCATTCGATGTAGACACCACCGTTCATCGCCGATCTAGCATCGTTGGAGACGTACTCTTCCGTAGCGTCGCCCATATCACCAACGTCGATGCGCGCTACTATAATTAAATTCAAACTTTGTCGTTTTATCTCGGTGACTTTTCGAAACTTCTGTTAGGTAAAAAAAATCGAGAGCAAATCTCTGAGTTTAAGCAGACGCGAGAGTGATGGTCATGATTGTCCACCAACTGTCCACATCACCAGCTGTGGCGTGCACAAACTCGACGCGAAGTCAATTAAGCACATCGCAGTGAAAAATGCCACGACAAGCCTCGAGTTGCCAAGATGGCGTTGCAAACTCCACTGCGATTACGGTCAGCAGCGCGTGCACATTAGTGCGTAGGCGTGTACATCAACATGGCGATTAATTGACGTTTAATGCCGTGGAAGACCCCAGGAGATGCCAATTTGTGGACGAAACATACGTTGTAGCGGCACCCCACAGGCTGAAGGCTACAATATGAGCTTGCCATAGTTCCTGACTGGCTCCTTCGAATTCTAATTTAAGATTCAGACTTCCGCAGGCCCAAAACTCCAGCACGCGGCAACAGTGTAAAGACTTGAAATTCGTGTGCAGCCTCGTCTTCTATGTGCACGTTAGGGTAAGGGTGGTCGCTGATTGGTGGATTTGGCTGATCGTAACGACGGTGACCATAGCATACTTTAACCAAGTCAGACTCGACGCCACCTTCCGATTTTTGAATAAAGCTTTTGGTGCGGCTGGTGGGGGCCCAGACAGCCTATACAAACTCCTATATGCTAAGCTCACGCTCGCCCCCACGACCTGGGATGGGGGAGCCAGCACGAGCGAGTGGTCCAGAGACACGAAGCCGCGACAAGGGGAGGAAAAGGCTTCGTTTGGCTATGGTCGGCGGAGGCGTCGCCCCTCCCGGCCCGAACCACGCCCCAGGAGGTTGGCATACGAAATCCAAATATGATCCTGAAGGGTTCGCCATCCTCCGAAAGGCGTCATCTCCCCTCTTGAGCACCACCTTTGCCAAACCACTTGGGCTTTGTATGCTGCGTTCCAGCGCCGGCGACAGCTCGCGTTTTCCCTTTTCTTTTCTTTTTCAGGCGATTCATTTCCGCTTTTCCAAGCTTCGGATCAAGAACAAGCAGCAACAGCAACAAGCAACAACAAGCAACAACAGCAACCATAGAACGCCATGGCCCGTACAAGCAGACAGCCCGCAAGTCCACCGGTGGCAAGGCCCCGCGTAAGCAGCTGGCCACTAAGGCCGCTCGCAAGTCAGCACCCACCGCCGGCGGTGTCAAGAAGCCGCACCGCTACCGTCCCGGTACGGTCGCGCTGCGTGAGATCCGCAAGTACCAGAAGTCGACGGACTTGCTGATCCGCAAGCTGCCGTTCCAGCGTCTGGTGCGTGAAATCGCGCAGGACTACAAGACGGATCTGCGTTTCCAGTCCACGGCCATCCTGGCTCTTCAGGAGGCTTCAGAGGCCTACCTCGTGGGTTTGTTCGAGGACACGAACCTGTGCGCCATCCACGCCAAGCGTGTCACCATCATGCCCAAGGACATTCAGCTGGCCCGACGCATCCGCGGCGAGCGCACATAAGCCTTGTTGGTATGTTGATCTCTCTTTGAGCTGCACGCAGCTTCTTTTTCTTATCGCCAGTTAGCTTTCTTTGGCTTGCTGTGTGTGATGGGGCGTAGTACAAGCACGCAACCCGTAGTATTTTAGCCTTATTATTTGCAGTAAGAAAATCTTGCAACACGAAACGTTTTGCTGCCACTGGCAATTTCAAAAGCATTAATGCATACAATGCCGATACCGGTACTAAAATAGGTACCGGTCTCATTTGAATTAAGAGACTTATTATACTGTACGGTTTGCCAAAAGGCTAACACGCATCCGATTCACTAAGCCTCATTGTTGCTCAGCTTGTCCATGAGCAGTTGCTGCTCGTCGGCTATCTTAGCGAGCGATTGAAACTGCAGATTGTACCTATTAGATGAAAGGTGTTCAACATAATTCAGCAAACACCCAGTCTTTCCAAACTACCACTCGTCACCACTTGAACGCACCGTTCCAGTTCGGTTTTCTTCTCCTTGATAAGTAGTTCCAGCATTTGCTTCTGACGATTCCGATTCTCCACCTCGCTGTCGACTCGGTTGCGCTGCCCGATAGCCTGCCATGCGCCTCAAAGCCCTCAGCTTTTCCGCCAACTTCGATAAATCCAATTACGTCTAGCGTACCTTCAGTTTTTCACGCTCAATGCGCTTCGCCTGTCCCTCCATCACTTCCAACACGCCTTTGACAATCGCATGGAACTCTTCAAGTTCTGTACCAGATACATCAGCACTCAGAATCAATCGAAAAGCAGATTTGCGATACAGCCACGCACTCGTGGCAAATTGGTTGCTCTCTTGCTCCAGCTCCTGCGTATGCGTGATGTTCTCCTTGTCCAGCACTCGCACCTGGCAGTCGTCATCGAAGCAAATGCTCGGTAGCTGGTTGTCTCCGCGGCTCATACTCGGATCGATTGTTGCGACTTTTCACAGCTTTTCCAAACATACCGGTTTTCAGCTGAGAGAGAAAAAAATAGATTTGGAGCTCACCTTTTTTTCTACAACAGTGCCCATTTGCGAAAAACTTAAGTCGAAGATGAACACGAACGTAAAGCGCCTCCGCAAGGAGCTGCAGGAGCTCAAGAAGAACCCGGAGGAGGACATGGTGCTGTACCCTGAGGAGGACACCATAATGCGCTGGAAGGCCTTTATTCGCGGCCCCAAAGACACCCCGTTTGAGGACCGCTGCTTCGAGCTGGCGATCCAAACCACGCCGCTGTACCCCATGGAGCCGCCCAAGATGAAGTTCGTCACCAAGATCTTCCACCCCAATGTGCACTTCAAGGTACCGTGCCAGGAAACTGGCGAGTTAGAAATGTCTTAGAAAGGATTCAGCTTCTGATTAATCCTCGTGCAACGTGTAGGACGGTAGCATCTGTCTGGACATTCTTAAACGTGAGTGGTCTCCCGCGTGGACCTTGAGGGTGAGCACATTATTGAAATTGGTGTTTGTGCTCAAAGACTTAATAAGGGTTGAATGTGCGTAGGCTGCGTGTTTGGCCGTGATTTCGTTGCTGTCGGACCCAGCGGCTGACTCGCCCCTCAACTGCGACGCCGGTGAGTGAGCGCTGTAGATAGATAAAAGTTGTGGAACTTCAGCTGATATACTGTGTGTGCTGTGCAGGGAACATGATTCGTGCGGGTGACATGCTGGCGTACAACACTATGGCCGAGATGTACAAGAAAGAGTACGGACTACTGGAGCTTCCCAAGGATCCGTTCTAAAGCTGCAAACACAGCTTGTAAAGTAAAGTTTCATGAACGTTTAAGGGTCACAGGGTGGTAGTATATTCACTGCTCAGACGCTCACGCTTCTTGCTTCTGTCCATTTAATGACGCAGGATCTGCAACTTGCTTAACCAGGTCGCCGTAGTAGGCCGTCACGACCTTCAGCTGTTTATTCAGGAAAATCTTCTCGCACTCCACGGGTTCGTCTGGTGTTAATGCCTCCAAGTCCTTCGTGGGTGTGCCCCTCGGCAGATAATAGGCAATATTCTTCGACACTTGACGAGCCCTGGCAAACAGATCCATCCCCGAGACACCTTTCACGAGCATTTCGTCCAAGCTGAAGCGCTTCCGACTGTACTTCACCCCTCCCCAAGGCGGAGATAAGAACACCGCATCAGCTTTGAGGTTCGGCAGGATATCAATGGAGTTGCCGACGACAAACTCGATCTTGTCCGCGACCCCATAAATCGCAGCATTGTGTTTGGCCATGCGGATCTTTTCGGGGTCAATGTCGATCGCAATAACCTGCTTGCACGTCATGGCCAACTGGATCACATTCCCACCGCAGCCTGAGAAAGGGTCAACCACGACATCACAGGCAAGACGCTTTGCGATATGCTCTGCAATCACCTGAGGTGTCACCTGTTTAAAATAATGTCAGGATCTTTGAGCGACATTCTATGGTAACCGAGAAGACGTACCGAGTACCAGCTTTCGTGGTCCAGCTGAATGCCATCTTCAAACTTCTCGAAAAGAGTTTGTCTTTGCAGATAAAATTTCACGACGTCCTTTGGGACTTTGCACAGTACGACATGGTCAGTGAAAAGGCAATCCGTCTCGCAACAGCGGCAAGTATCTACCTGGGTACTTGTTTTTCTTCTTCTTGCCAGTCGAATTCTTATGCTCCATTATGCAGGTACTGTCCTCTTGCGGTTTAATCTCTTGAACCACTTCGACTTTCTCCACGACACGCTCGGCCACTTGTCCGTCTGAATCGTACACCACACGAACCTTTTCGACAATCGTCGTCTCCGGTTTTCGGAGCCTCCTCCTCAGCAAGTTGCTCCTCTCCATGTGCAATAATCCCGTCTCCATCTTCACCTTCCGCTTGATCAGCGTCCACAGCGCTTTCACTCTCTTCATCATCCACTTCGTCGGTCTCTTCCTCGTCTGGAAATTGCTCCACTTCCTCCTCCAATGATCTCTTGCGCTTCTTCGACGCAAAGGACCTCGATCTGCCACCAAAGCTCATGGGTAAACCCCCCTCCATTCCTGCCGCCTTCATCTCCTGCTCTAACTGAGCTTGTGCAGCTCTATACATATCTGCGCATACGTCTTCTCCGTTTCCATCCTCGCTCGCATCACCTTTCTCCAGCCGTCGACGTTTGTTTTTCTTGCTTTTCTTGCCTTTACCAGGCTGAAAACACGCCAAAATACGTCGCCATAATCATAGCATTTCAGTGATTCATCTGCAACTATTATAACAAGCAAATTAGAGCTCTACCCCGTGTGACTGGCGACTACGCAGGCGCACCTCCGTGACCAGCGCCATGCCTTTTAATACTTGGGTTGGTCGTTTCTATTGGATATCAATATTCGTTTTTCTACCAATCCAAGCGCTGCATTCTCTTGTTGAAGTGCGCATTTTTAGAAATCGCCGAATCATGCAAGGGTGCCGTATCTTCGGCGTCGCTCTGGGCGTCATAGCTGCGTATCTGGGCTCATGTGAGTCTTTGTTGATAGAAGAAGATGTCGCTTGGTTCACAGGCTATCCACCGTCCGCGTGGAACGCCATCGCGTCGCCTTCTGTGTGCGCTCTCGACGTTTTCCACGTCGAAGTCAGATTTCCAGCTTTTCAAGACGTTAACCAAGATAATTTCAACTGGCAATTGATTGCAAAGAAAGTGGAAGGGTGGGAAAGAGGCGCTGTTG